AGTATAGGTCTGCAATAACAAGTGGGTCGAACTTTTGTCCCACCGAAGTATTCAGAAAACTTGCGATCATGGAGTGGCTAGAGGACATCATTGAACTGGCTGACAAGAGGCTGCCTGCAAGATCGTGACAATTGCACGCCCGCATGCGTGTGACATCTTCAGCAAAGACCAGGACGTTGCAGCCCGATTCACCTTCAAGACTTCTCATGGAAGCTCTCTAGCTTTCTCATCTCGCTTGCAGTTGCGTCAAGAGTGACCCGCTGGACGTTCTGAGAAGGTCACCAGCTTCCCTGCCTTGTGCATTGGAACCCGCATGCAGTCGTCCGCGAGTGGAGCACTATATTCGTTCAGATTCGTTCCTTCTGTTCTGGGTTTTAACAAGTCATGTCCTTAAGCTTGAAATCTAAGCAGCTGTTAGCTCCAAACCCAGAGCCTGCAGAGCGTGTGCTCTTGTCCCATTCCTCCTCAACAGCCGCGGTTTGGCATATGTTTTCTTTGACGATGCCCGGTGAGCGATGGCGCTAAACTGTCAGCCCTAAGCCATCGACCCTTCACACAAGAGTTAGAGCCCCTGTGGAGCCTTTCCTTCCGCCTAGAGCAAGATTGGAGGATCATGGTTCCAAGTCAGGGTGGTTCAATATTGCAGTTTCATTTTCGTGGAGTTCTGGGGATGCTGTAGGAAACACAGACAATTGGTTTCCATGATTCCTGCGACGCTGCGTCTTTTTGGATTGTGAATTAAAGTACTCACCCCCCAACGCAGGTAGGATTGGCCTGATGTAAGCGAGCTGCGATACGTCGGAGCATGCACTCACACATAATGCTGCACCGCAGATGTTACTCCAGATCCTCACTTTGCCCCTAGACCCTACACCCACAATCAGCCGCTCAACCTTACCATGTCCTAAGACCTATGCCCTGCACTGCAAGCCCAAGCCCTGAGATTTGCATAAGCCACTAAGCCCTGACCCAATTGCTAAAACCCAAGCCGCTCAACACTGCAAGAAAAATTACCAAGCAACAAACTGCAATTCTTAGCCCCAGCAAGCACCCAACTGCTATGTCTTACGCCGTCGTAAGCCGCAGGCCGCAGAAACTTGCCCAATACTGCAGCAGCAGGTCCAGGCCACGCCGGCCCCAAAGGTTGTCGGCGGCATCCGGGCTATGACTTCGTGGCGGCTGCGCCCCTACGCGGCCGCTGCAGGCTTCGAGGGTGGGGGGGCTCGGGGGCGTTATGGTCCAGGGATGAGGGTTTATTGTTCGTGTTCGGGGTTCACGGTTCAAGGTGTAAGGCTTGAAGTTGAGGGTTCCGGTGTCAGGGTTCAAGGTTAGTTTTCAGTGGTTTGGGCATGGGATTTGGAGATTTGATTCTCCGCGATTCGCAGGCTGTTCAGGAACACGTTGTGTCAGCGAGCATGATAGGGCTTCGTGCTGACAGAGGGAGGAGGCCTCGCAAATTGTCCGTGCCGAAGGCGAAGCAGGGAGGGCATGTCTCAGTGGCAAAGAATGATTCTTGTAGTAAAGGAAGGAGATCCTGTGATGACAGCTCTTGCTCTATGCACCGTCTTCGAACTAGAGCCCTGTGACCAAAACCCAAAACCCTAGAAGACTTCATACTAGAAGCTTGAGGGTACAGCTCGCTCAAGGTTCCGGGGCTTTCGCATCATGCAGGGTGGCCTACTTGCAGAACTTGATGGATGTGAACCCTGTGTAGTTTGCAGTGGAACAACAGCTTCGTTAGCTCTGCATCTTTGCTTGTGACTTCTGGTCAAGCTACAGAATTTTGTTGACTGGCAATTCTAGCAAAGGAGCGCATGGCAGCAAAGATAGGAAGCTGCTTCAATCCGGAAAACTGAGAATGAGCTCCATCTCCTTGCTCGCAAACGATCCCCCTTTCATAGCCACAAGGTGACAACCGATATTACCGATTGCCATTGGAACCTGCAGGACTGGGTAGAACTAGATGTCCACTATTACAGCAGTAGGGATGGTTGGATGTGTTCTTTGGCTGGAGGCTGAGAATGTGGCCGAGCTCTGTGGCTCCTTGTGCACTCTTCGGTTAAGAAACATTGCCACAAACAAATTCTAGCACGACCACTTGGAGGTTAGTCCGTATTCATAATTGCGTGGTCTTGCATGACAACTTATACTACCTCGCTCTGCGCAGGTGCTAGCGCTGCTTTGCCGATGACCTCCCTCAGTGCCGGCTTCAACAAGGCCCAGTGCCTGAGTAGTACCTTCAAGGCTGATATTGTAGGTCTCCATCTGGAGTAGCTTGTACTTGTATTCGGGTATGACATTCCAATAGCAAGTGACTTGGTTCAACCATCACGGGCTCTACTCTTCATGCTTCTGCTGCTGCTACTGCTGCTTTTGGTCAGGGCTTGCCCTCTTTCAAATCTTCAGACTATGGTAACCTCTGCACATAGGTATAGTGGCTAGAGACCATGTTGCAGGCTTGTATTGAAACTTGCAGGTCATGTTTTGAAGGACATTGTTTCGAGGACGTCCGGATTTTTTGCAGGTAATCTGTCAGCCATACCCATTCTTTAGTTGGGGGTTGGGTACTGAACCAGAGATACTCTTTTGCTTTCTTGCGTTACTTTCTTTGGTTCTCTTCTTGCTTCCTTCGTCCTTGTTTTGTGAGCTTTGTTGGAGTCCTAGGCCAGGACGAGCTGTTGGGTTCCAGGGATCCGTATCTAGTTGGTTCCTTTGTTTACCTGTAGCCTGTAACCTGTAACCGCATTTATTGTCTATGCCCCCAATGAGGGGGTAATCATTCTTCAGCTGCAGGTGATTGGGGTTACAGGTAGACACTCTTCTGAAAGCACATGGAACCTAGCAACACCTGCCTGAGACAACTATTGATTGCCATTCAAAGGGAACCTTACTAGTTTCATATGAGTTGAGCCGAGGGTGCTCTTCTTTGGCCTTCGAGTCTCTGACGCTGAATGCCTAGATCATGGAAGACTATTCTTGATGTGCCCGCCAGCAAACCTACAGCCATGGTGTAGCTGCATAGCTCGATACCTCAAATTTTGCTCCAAACCATTCCAAGCCCGTTTTTGTTTATCTAGCGCGTTACATTAAGCCTGTCAATCTTAAACTTGAAGCGCACGCAAAGATTCAGTCTTTGTGTTGGAGTTTCTTGAGGCTTCTTTTCTGATCTGAAAATCGGAGAACTAACCACCTCTCTTGCGGTCCTGGTATGGCTGCAATACTAAGAAGACAGCTGTCCCATGTCAGAGGCCCCAAATCTTTGGTTTCCAACATCACCAAAGGCTGAGTCCCTCATCAAGCGATAGCTTGCAAAAGAAACATGCAAGGGGTCAATCAGTGTTTCAGCTACATTTCAAAGAAGCACCCGGGCTTTTCATGCCGAGAAGGAATTGTGTGAGATGTCCCCATCCAAAAAATTGGCTCCCTTTATGTGCCCATTACATAGTCTCAACAAGAAGGCGCAAGCCCAAGGTTCCTGACAGGGCCTTGATCATTCCTGAGCCAGTTGAGATACGATAAAGTACACCAGTTCTCGTGCCGTGCCATTATGAAGAACTAGCAACATGTTAAGGTTCCTTTCTTTATGGGAATGATGCAGGGGTAGATAGGGTATAGTGATGGTGTAGAAGCTTGAATAATGAGCAATCCATAGTTGCCCTTGTATTTCTTGAATAGCTATATTAAGTTGGATGCCTGCCCGACCTGAAGCCCTCAAAACTACACTCATACAGTACTGTGAAGGTATCCCGTCCTTAAGACAAGGTGAGCCTCTCTTTGCTGGTGCTTCCTTGGAAGGCCAAATGGCGGATTTGGAGGGTTGGCAGGGTCTTTTTGCGTGGGTGGCGGCGGCGGTGGGAGCAGCAGCAGCAGCAGCAGCAGCAGCAGCACTAGCAGTGGTGGTGGGGTTTGGGGTTTAGGGTTTGGGGTGTTTTGTCGTGTAGGGTTTCGTGTTTGGGCTGCGGCAGCTGGCTGCGGTTGTCACTTCAGCGTTTAGCTCTTCAGGGTTTGGGGTGTGCCTTAAGGTTGAGGGCGCCTTGGGACGCGCAAGCAGATGCTCCTGAGCAGGCCGAATCGCGAGGTTTCGCAGGGGTGTCCCAGACTTGTTCGGGAGTTCCAAAAGTGCATCCTGGGCCTCCTCCTCAGGATATACGCAATGTCTGGCTGCTCAAGCTTACCGGCCTAAGCCGGGAGCTCAAAAGCCCAAAGCCTCAGGACCCCAAACCCTAAGCCATCCACACCCAAGTCAAAAAGCCAAAAGCTTTGCGTTGTTGAGCAATCTTCTAGTAGGTGAATGAACAGACCCTAGATCTCATAAGACGGATAAGCGTCTGGCATGATCACATGCACTGGCTAAATTACCCAAAGCCCAATTCTGTTTTCCATCAGTTGCCAGCAGACTGAGCCCACAAACTCTAGACTGCAGTTTGGCAACGGAGTCTGCCAAGTGGAAAATCCCAAATCCTTACGCGACGACGTTGGCGCCTCACATCCTATACTCCACGCTGTAAACCCAACCCCGAGACTCCAATCCTCGATCCCTCAACCTCCAAACAAGCAGCCGTGAACCCTAAACCCCAAAGCATCCAAGCTCGTCCAGGAGGCAGCAGCAGCAGCAGCAGCAGCAGCATCAGCAGCAGCAGCAGCATCAGCAGCAGCTGCAGCTGCTGTTGCTGCTGCTGCGCCTCCTGCTGCTCCTGTTCTGGCCCATGAACATCGTTATCACGTTCAGACTTTCCTTTGACACTTGCCCCATTCGTTCTGCACATATTTTGTTCCCCTTCGCATAAATTCGAGTAGCATCATCAACGCAATCGACAGGCACACACACACACACACTAAACTTCTTCTGTATCGCGTTAGCCAAACAAGAAGCATTGCAGTTGTCATGATTCTCATTGCTGTGATTGCAGTATGGTAGTGGTTTTGAATTTAGGGTTTGGACATTTTGAGAACCCTGCTCGTTATTCATCCTGTAGTTCGCCGAAAAGAAGGCCTTGCCGATGGCCCTGGCATTGCTCCCCACGGTCTGGGTCCTGCCAGCCGCGTACCGGATGATCTTTCAGAACTCCATGAGGCACACGTTCCTGTCCACTGTTCGGGTCAATCTTCTCATATGAGCTGTAGTGTTCGAGGAGGAGTAGTAGTAGAAGTGGAAGTAGTAATAGAAGTAGAAGAAGAAGTTGAAGAAGAAGGCAGGATAGTGGATAGTGGTAGTAGCAGTGGCATTAGGAGTGGCAGTAAGAGCAGCATTAGCCGTTGCAGCAGTAGCAGCAATGACGACAAATTAGTGGCATGAAGGCTAAAACCGTTGAGGTCTCCCTTCCTCTCATTGCTTCCGTCATAGTGGCGGCAATACTTGAAAACCCATAAGAATCCATGTTATCTGGCTATTTGTCGCAGTATGGAGGCCAAGAAAGGTTAGGCCTTGATATTTTGCAAAAACCTATGCAAGAAGAAGTGTATCGAAAGCTTTGACTTGGGACAGCCTGGACTTAGTGAGGCAACCGCCAAACACCGCCTATAAAGATAACCTGTCCCCGGGTCTACGGAACTTGGGGGGCAGCCCTTAGACAGCAGAAACCCAGAGCATGGCTTTGCAAGTCAGAACCAGGTCACTCGGTACCGTCCCAGAGTTGCTAATCATATTAGTTGTTGATGAGCCTAGTGTGTCTCAAGATAGCTATCAGGGGTGCTTCGGTCTTGCATGCGGGGAGAGCACTGACAGGGAAGAGGAAGGCTTCCAGATTTGGACTTATGATAGATGACTACAAATTCAGAGGTTTAGGTCTGTGAAAGGGTAGGCTCTGTTTCGCATTCGTCGTGAGCTTTCACCCTTATCTCCTCTGCTTCCTGTTGTGTTTGTAGCATTGCGGCATGGAGATCCATGGTTTTGCATGGTCGTTCTGTGTTGTTCGGGCTGAGAGTCAGGGTCTCATCTATTTGAGTTTCGGGGCGCATGTACAAGGAAGTAGATTTCTTCTCGAGCTCGCTGTGTGCTGCAGACATTGTCACGCCCCCGCGCTCATGCAACCTTGAGAAGGCAGTTGAGCATTCCTCAAACCATTTATGATCATCGCCACCAGCTGCAGCCCGATTGAACACTTTGGAAACAGACTAGTCATGACATTTTTGTTGCGAGCCTCCTTGCACACAACAGATAGCTCCGGCCCATCTCACAGTTCGTAGATTTTGGGGTTGGATTCAGGCTTAGGCTTTGGGGTGAAGGGTTTACGTAGGACTGTACAGGAGGGGAGTCTGTTCCCTCACATCCTACTGACCACAAGTAGGTCCAGCCTATAATGTAGGGTCCCATCTAATTAGCTTAGCCTTGTGTTTGGGGTATTCTATGCTACAGTTATTCAAGCGCTATACCGTAAACCCCATATCTCCCTGCATAATCCGTATAAGCCATTTTGTAACGGAACCTGTATCATGCTGGTAGTAACTTAGGCTTCTGCATGACGCTAAACCCTTCGTTCTCCTCCCACAGACACCTTTATCTGGGCCTTTGTATGAGATGAGCTGCAACCGCTTACTTGGAGGCTTCTAGGCATGCGGCTCCAATACAGCCGGCAAAACGGGCAACTACTTTTGACCGGTAGGTTGCTTCTAGTTACGGTTGCTAGTTTATCTTCCGCTGCCAGTAGGTTGCAGGTAGTTTCTGTAAGCCTGCACGTGGCGCGTACCAGGCTGCTGTTGGTTAGGTGTCTGGGTGCATAAGGTTCAGGGCTTACTTCAATGATCATAGGTAGTTGTAAGTGAGTTTTTTTGTGGGCTCTGTACGCTCCTTGTTTTGTCAACATATCCGGGAACGCATAGCAAACTAGAAACTACCCATGAGCCTCCAAGTAGTTCTTGGTATCAACATCAGATCTGCTTCTGCCGCAGAATTTTCAACAGTCGGCTCAAGTGCCTGCCGGCCATTCTATGCCTGTACAATAAAGCCTTAAGCCGAAGATGCCCATTTGGTGGGTAAGGGCGGCTTCAGGAATGCGCCTGAACCCTACGCCCACCTCAACACCAGCCTCGCCCTGTGGGCATGTAGATTATGTAGAACAAGTGTCTTTGAGTTTGAAGTAAGAGGAGATTTTCCTGTTCTTTACAGATCCCGTCATGGGGATCTCCATAACCACCCCACATCACCAGATATCTCCAGCATGTTCCAGAACAAAGTTGCGTGCAACATGCAACGCCTAGCCCTAGCCATTCATCCAGGAGATCGGAAGACAAAGCCAACCTTTTTAGGACCTTTAGGATTCGTGATGAAGCGCTCTCCAACGTCAGCCACCGCGGCTTCAAAGTCCGCTGGCTTTCTGCGCAAAGCCACCTCCCACCTCGCTGACAGAAGGCATGCGCGTGGTGTTTAGTATGGAATTCAGGAAAGGATCCCTATAGCGTTTTTTAAAATTCGGTCCGCTGATGTACTTCAAGATGGTATTCTAGCTTTCAAAAGAGGGCTCGGAGTTTTTAGCAAGCAAGCTCAAAACAGGTTCGGCATTGGAAGGTCTCGGGAAAGTGTGAAGATCAAAGTCCTCCTGGATCTCCGCAACAAGACCCTTCAACACTCTGGAATCTTTGCCCCCAAACTCTCATTCCCACCCCCCCTTGTTTAGGCTTAGGCTTGCTTATGTGCACTACTTGATGTAGAAGCCTGAATGATTGCCAAGATCATTCCGTTTTAGCCCCCGTATCATTGGCAGCAAAATTGTATATTTATATATATATATGTATACTCCAAAGCTTTATCCGATTAGATAGGCGTCCCGCACAGTAGGTGCCTATCGAGTTTTCTGAAGCGATTGTGGGTGGTGTGTAACAGACCTAACTATTACATATAGGGGATAAGGCGATAACGTTTCTGATTAATCAGATCTCTAATTGATAAGTCCCCAGACGCCTCTCCGTGAAGAGGACGTTGCGCAGAGGATCGTGTGGCACGGTACATGTGGATGACACGGGCAGGCCCGACAGTCTAAGATTTGTGGGTTCTTCAGGGACAGGGACATGTTGAGGCATCAGAGATGTACCTTGTGGCTTTTTTTTTAATGTTGCTTGTAGGCAGTTTTGTTTGCTGCAGGCGGGTTGCATCGAGAAGAAAGTCACAAGAGTCGCACGTGAAACACATATTGAACCTTCCCAAGTCTTCCGCCTGCCCCTCCTCACAGTGAATGCTCCTACAAATTGCCACAAGCATTTTATGTTGCTCAGAACGGGATATTCATGAGAAACCCCAGCCCTTCACAGCCTAAAGTCAAGCCCGCCTGCTCTCCCCTGCTCTCCCAGATGGTCTACAGTTCCGGGTGAGGGTTTAGGGTCTGGAGTTTAAGGTATTTTTGCATGGTTCCATCTGAAGAGAAGTTTTATTCACTAGCTGAAATGTTTACTGCTGGTTCTTGTGCTGCAAGAGGAGTAATGCAGAAGCCTGAACAGGTAGAGCTGCTTTCTCCTTTTCACCCTTATGTAGTTGCGGTATCTTGCACCCCAAAACCCATTCCAAGAGTTTAGGCCCCACACTACTTTGCCCGTGCAATGATGCAATTCAGTCATTCAAGCGGTAGAACTTGTGGGAAGAAGGCCGTCGGATTTAGCGGTGAATTCTTGCAAGTGTAGTTGTGGAGGGTAGATTACAGCTCGTAGGCAAGTCATTCTGGAGCTTACGCAGCCTTATGTCAGACTGTTGCTAAAGCTCATGCTGAATGCTGGCATCAAGACAGCACAAGTCTCAACGAAGCTTTCAGATGGTAGTTTTGTGATACGCACCCCAGGGTCTGTAGTGTCCAGGATTTCCCTGTTGGGCTTATAGGGTTCAGGGATTAGGAGTTAGCGGCGATTGTTCATTCTGTTCCAATATTTTCACCTCAACTTCGTGGAGCTTTGGGAACGTTTCGAGGGCCATGATTTGGTGTGCATGGACTCTCAGGATCCTGTACGATCCTTTCCTAACCCTTCGTTGGGCATTGTTTTAGCACGGCGGTGTTGGGTAATATGTGGGATCTTATGCTGGAAGGGACAGGGATTGACAGCCGTAGTTTGGGTTGTCCTGATTCAGATCCTACCTACTATGTGGTTCTGTTTACAAGCCCTACAGCTTGAACCGTCACCCCCCATCATGCAACAACTACTGCTGAACACACCCAAACTAACCTGAAGACTAATTTCTTGAGTCGGCATGAGCATTCAACAACAATTAAGAGGATTTGGTGACCCACACCCTACAACAAGAACCATTCCGGTGTCATATGATAGTAATAAGGTTCTCGCTTGTGGGGGCTAGGGTGTCCCAAATCCCTTGTTACTCAAGCATACTCAAGCAGACCTAGAAGATATTATGAAGCCATCCACATGCAGGCGCAACTCCGTGATCACTGGTGCCATGGTTGTACATGGGTATTTTCAAGAAGGGGATCCACCTTGTTTAGAACCTGGCAGCGCTGGACGGCTTGGCCATCACCCTACAAAAATCCTAGCTCCGATTTCTCTTGCCTATCCCTACGGTCCTCATAGGAGGAGTTGCTGTCACAACTGGTTTTATGTCTAATTTCCCGGCCTCTAAGCCGTTCACCTCCTTGATGGAACCCTGCATAGTTCCCAACTGTGCTGCTGCTGCTGCTGATGATGATGATGATGATGATGATTCTGCCAGGGCCCACGCCCGTGTGCACCGCGTGCGCGAGCATCATCAACACAGTTGGTGGATTTTAAAGTACAGTTATGGATCAGAGAGATCCAAAGCCCTTGGAAACCATTCTCCTAAGTAGCTGGAACGGCGCTTGTTGCAAAGTATTTTGGCATTCGCTAAATTTATGGGGCGTCATCAACGGAAGATAATTTTTTGTTTTCTAGCTTATGACAGCGTGCAAGAGTAGTACAGGGACCACGAGTGACTGCAAATCTGCAGGGAAAGACTGCAATGCGCAACGGCTTCAATGTGCAAGTCCACGTGCATGGATGCCATGCTGCAACGGTGCTGCCTGTCAACAGCACGTGTTTTTCCTTGTTGGCTCGCTGGTAACTCACAGCTGGAAATACTGCTGGCAGCGCTCATTTGGAGCTCTTTGCGGTGTTTACAGCGAG